GATTGGGGGCCTTTGTTTGGGCAGCCTTAAGAAGCCAGCATCCTGAAGGAGGAAGTGGGTCAAGTCCTGGCAACAGCTGAAGAGAGGACATCCATCTAAAGAACAATGGAGGGCCAGAAGGGGACAGCCTCCTCTGTCCAGCTAAATTCACTCTTTGACATACATTAATTCTCCTCAGACTTCCAGAGGTCTAAGTGTAACAGAAAAGTATAGTGTGGATTAAAAAAGCATAAACTCAAAGGGAGTCTTGATGCCAAAGTGGGTTAAGCATTGGGCTAGCTAAAGGAAAGGTCAGAGGTTTACCCCCCAACCTGAGGAAAAGATAAGGCCGGCTGTAATGGGGTCATTCTACTTTGTCCCATAAGGTCCCTGAATCAGAATCGACTTGACTGTAGGCGTTTGGTTTGGAGTTTTGAACTGAGGCTGCGCTCACAGTGTCTCTTCTCACACAGTCCCTGGTACACCTGGCACAGGCCCTTCTTGTGAACACTAAGCCTACTCAGTTTCTAGAAGGATGCACGGAGGTGGAAAGTTCTGGCTGCAAGCAGGTTCATACCCCACACCCAGCTGCCAGTACTAAACCCACACACACAATCACGCCACTTCTGCATGCTCACCTCCAGCTCCGAGCACTTGTTGAGTCACACCCACCAAAGCCCATGCCCACACCACCCCAACCTCATCGACTCCCCTAAACTAGTTCATCCCCAAAACCACACCCACTGCCACAGCACCTTGCCTAAGCTGGATCCCTGCCTCCAAGGTCTTTGAATTACTGTCCTCTTCTCTACACCCACTACTTCAGAATCAGAGAATCATTAACGCATGCACGTGTTCTTTTTTGATGCAGTTGGAACTGACTCCTATGAGGACCAGAGGACAGGCAGCTATCATCTGTGGAGGTGATTCCAGTCAGCCCTCTAGCTACTAATCTACCACGAGAGAAGCATGGAGGGTGCAGACTGGCATCACCATTCAGAACTCTCCAAGGCTACAGAGCAAAGGCTTTGGTCTCACCCTCTGAACCGTTGTTTCTCTGACTCCCTGCCCAGCCAGGCTGAGCCCTCAAGCACTGGACATTGCCACTCTTGAGACACTGGCCTGGAGATGCAAAGATCCACTCCCTCTGCCACAGAATAATAGCAAGGCCCTGAGCTTCACTCCAGTGGGCACGCTGGGCCCCAGGAGGATTGTGCACATTCTGCTTTGTTCTCTTCTACCCAGGGGATGGCTGTGGTGCAGGCAATGACGACAGTGGGTGAACAGTGACATCTCAAGTGTGGCTCTGTAGAATGAAGCATGGAGGGTTGTGAAGAAAACGGGCTCCGACCCTTCCTTTTTTTCACCAGATCCACCTCTTCTCAGAGCAGTGGTGGTTCAGTGCTAGAAGTTTCACCTCTCACAGGAGAGTGTCAGGTTTGATTCCCTGCCAAAATATTGAAAATGCAGCTGCCACTCATCGGTCAGCAGAGGCTTACATGTTGCTCTGGTATAGGCCAGGTTTGCTTCCAGACTAAGACAGACTAGGAAGGCTTGGCAAAGTAATTCTGAAAATCAGACTGGGACTCACAATGGTCTGACCCCTGGGCCGTGTTGGATCATGCAGGCCCAGGCAACATTCTGCCCTGATGTGTGTGCAGTGGCCAGGAGTCAGGCTGGTTCCACAGACACTAAGAGCACCCACCCCTATTTTCTGTCAAGAAGACACACAGACTTTGCTTTAAAGTTGGAGACAACTCTGTTTTCTCACGAACTGCATGTGCCAAGCTAGTATTACTGAAAATCCATGATGAAGACAAGGAAAACGCCATAACTGCCTTCCACTTGGGTCTAGCCTGCCAAAACCACATCAGAGCTTGCTTCCAAAGGCAGAACAGAGTTTGAAAAGCCTACGATGGGAGGAGAAATCATAAAATTCTGAGAGGACCCTGAGGGAGCGAATGATGGTTCCTTGAAGAAGCTCTGGTGATACAATGGTTAAGGGCCCTGTTGCTGGGACCCACTAAGCAGCTCCCAGGGAAACAGAACTGGCAATCTGCCTATAAAGATCACAGTCTAGAAAGCCCCAGAGACAGTTCTTCTCCGTCACATGGAGCCGCTATGAATGGAAACTTACTAGAGAAGACTTAAGAAAGCTTTGATGGCCTAGTGGTAAGAAGCTGCACTGCAATCCCAAAGGCATGTGGCTTGACCCCACCAGCTGCTCCAACTTGACAACACATAACAGAGGGCACCTCACAATTGTTTCTTTACAGGAGAAATGCTCTACTCCTTTTTAAATATATCATTTAAAAAAATCTTTATCTACTTCAGAGAAGAACATGAGGACATCAGGGACACTGCTTAGGGGACTATCTCTTGCTTGGGGACACAAGACCCTCAGTGCAAATTCAGAGGTCCCTAGTACTCCTATGGTATCTATGGTAAACTGCTGCCACCTGAGAAGGCCACCAACTCCACTGGCAGAGGCAGGCGTCAGGTACTTATGGGAACCAAACACCTCAGCTGAGCAAAACGTGTCTGCACTTCTCCCAGGAGACACCATACTGCTTACTTTTGAAATCCATTAATAGCATGGCAATAACAGAGAAATTATTGTTTCTGTAATATTACCATCACCTCTTCACTCGCACACCTGAGGGTTGGTAAACTAGCATTCTTAGAGCTGGCCTTGGCCAGCCCCTCCTGAAACAAGGTGTGGTTCGCTCTGTTTGTTGCCAGGGGGACATAACCACAGTACATGCCACTGTTTCCTTCTTGTTCTCTTCTTCTTACATTCCCGCTCTTTAGCTCTTCTATTCTCTCTCTCTCCCCCTCATACTTGCTCTGTGTCTCTTTCTCTCTCTTCTCTCTTTCCTGCTTTGTTTCCTCTCTCACTTTCTCTGTCTCCTTTCTGTCTCTCTCATGTACTCTCTCTCATCTCTTACTCTCCTCTCTTGCACTCTCCTCTCTCTGAGGTTCTCTACCTGTCTCAACTTCTCTTTCTCTCTTTTTCTCCCCCCCTCCTCCCCCTTTCTCACACACATTTTCTACAGGTATAAATTTACTTCCAAAGATGATCAGCATTCAAAATGCTTCTTGCTTCATGCTCCTGGCATATGTCAGATAACAGACTCCATTCAGAACAAAATCCAGTCTTTCCAGGGTTCATGCAGCAGACTAGTTTTCTATATAAGCACTATCCCATTCTTGAGACTATAACGGCATTGCATTCGTCTAACTCTAAGCAATATTTAGTTAACCATCAAAGGACATTTCTACCTAATTAGGATTTAGCTGTAAAATATGGGCATACAGTCTTTAAATTACAAGGAATTCAACATTCTGAGTCTTGTGATAGCATTTTCAACCAAGTTCCTTTCAGAACTACAGGACTGAATCCTCGGTGAGGTCCAAGCCTGCCTTGGCGTGAATACTACTTACAGGACCTGTGCCACAGCAATATCCAAACTGTCCAGTACTGTAACTGTCGTTCCTATTCACAAGGAGAACTAGATGCACAGACATGAGCTGATGTCTCAGATCGATGCGAACCCTGCTCGGCACACACCACCTCGGTGTTACGTTGCCTCTGAGGTATTGTAACTTGGCACTTTTCTCCCCCTTTTTTTATTTGGCACTTACATTAATGCTGCACTAGGAGTTGATGCAACGGTTTCCAGAGCTCATAAAACATCCATTTAACAAATACCATATTTATCATTAAAACCTATATGTAATGAAAAGTCCCCAGAATATCTGTAACAGAATGGAAAATGTACTTAGGTGCAGAGTCAAACACTTGGGTTCTTTGAGTACCTTCAAGTGGTGATTTGGGGTTAGCCAGAAAATGCCCAGACATCAGTTTCCTCATCCACAACATGGGACAGCATTCCTCCTGGGAATACTTTATAGGGATGGACTAATGGGATACTGGATGGGAAAGGGATCTTTACACAGGAAAGTACTAGAAAATGTGAGCTGTCAGCCATCAGCTAGGCCTTGACTCATGCTTATCCAATGCCCCCAGAATGAAATGGGTCACCCGCATGACTGGGTGCAGACCTGACTATTATGAACCAGCAGCTGATTTGGAAGTCGTCACCAGCCTTTTTAGTCTACAAGTGCTGCTGACACCTCCTCAGCATTACAGCACAACACACAACACCTCCACTGACAGACAGAAAGTGGCTGTGCGGCGACATTGTGGCTAGATTCGAACCCGGGCCTCCCACATGGAGAGCCAAGATTCTACTGCAGGCCACCACTGCTCCCAGCTACATTAGATCATGTGCCATTTACAGGAAAGGATTTCTTTGTTTCCTGATACCATGCATCTTCTTTGCTGAGTATCTATGAGGTATTGTGGCATAATTGAAATCAACTTTATTCTCCAAAGAGACATCACATCTAGTAAAATGCTTGTGATAGTTTTGCATTTGCTATTACATGACAATGTCATATTACACATGACAATGACAGCTGCATTTTCACAACAATCCCAGGAAAGTGAATAATAATAATAATAGGAGACATCAGAATTTCATTTTAAGTGTAAGTAAAGATAGGAAGAAACAGTACATCCTATGAAAGGGGTAGGGGAGGGAAGGCGATCTGCCTGCAAAGGCTTGGACATATGCTGCCCTGGCTGGCCACTAGCTGACACTCTCCCCTCATAAAAATGTAAGACAGCATTATTTCCCAGACAATAAAAATCTCAGAGATGAATTTTGCCATATGTGGGCAAGGCCCCCTCTCACCAAGCCCTCATCCCTGGGGAATGAAATCGAAGACTACATCTTCAAAGAGAGTGCTTGGTAAATATACTACCGGTTTTACAACCCTCATCCTCCACACAAACCACTGGAGAACACATTTTCTCAATGTTGCCCCAAGTTACTGTTCAGCGGCCTTGCCTTTCGGAAACACTCTCTGGGGAAGTGGGAAGCATTTCTGCTTGGCCCTTTTAAGTGCTGTAAAATCGGGAGGGTAGAGGGAATGGGTGCCAACAGTCTACTCACCTTGAGCCGTTCACCTGGTTGGGGTTGCATTCCATCTTGATGGTGACCCTGGCTGGAGGTTGAGACAGCCAGTCCTGCTGAGGGACGCGCGGACTCATCTTCGACGTCTGTCCATAGTCATTGGAGGAGGATGCAGTCATCTCCGTCTTGGCCAGGTGAGGTGTTCCGTAGGCACACTCAAACAACGACTGGTCCTCACTCACGACTGATAACGCTTCCTGAATGCCCAAAGAGACAGATACTCAGCACATTCCAAAGGACACACATGCTTCAAGGGGCTGTTGGCTTTCAAGTCACTCCTAAGGGGGATTACAATCAAGATTGTATGCGCAGCCTCTACTTCTACCTTTCAGAAGTAGAAAAGGACCTTGCTGTCTTCCCTTCAGATCAGCCAAGTCAGGACTGGCCAGTTAAAAAAAACAAAAAACAGCAGCCCAACCCCAAACTTTTCTGCAGATCCAGAAGCATCTCAGGCTTGACGGCAGCCCTGCAGATAATACCCACTTTAATCTTAACTTAAGGAAGTAGAATTTCAAAGGTCTTAGAAGACATCCAATTGCACATGTCATTATTTGACAAATGCAATCTATAATTCAAGCAGACAAGGTACAGAGTGATCATGCAGATTAAAAAAAGACATGTGAAGGCTAACACCTTAGCATCTGGCAAGACTGCCACATTCCCAGGAGATTCTGAGGAAGGGGTGCTTAGAAAAAGGGCGAGGGGGAGATGGAGCACCAGAGGACAAGCAGACAAAGATTGGGAATTTTCCACTCGGTGCTATTAGCTGGAATGGAGTTTTGAATGGTACTTCCATGATGATGAACATCTGGACAATAAATGAACAACAAAAAGCTGTGAATTATCCAGATGTACCCAAATACCGGGATCTTTAGAATATCTGGATCATTGTTTTCACTCGTTAATATGTGTCTCTCTTACAGGGTCTGGTGAATGAAAGAGAAAACTCTGATCATTAGATAATTTCTCTGTGGTTTTAATTAAGCAAGTGGTTAGCCTCTGAACAGTCTTATTTTCTATGACTCTCCAAGATACAGACAGACACAGCGACTCCAACAGCAGGCTTGGTGGAGACTGTAAGGACGTCACAGGATGGGGCAAGGTTTCAGTATGTTGTTCGTAAGGGTTGCTATGAGTTGGAGTCTGGTTCCTAACAACATTGGCCAAACCAGTCAAAGTGAACTCAATGTGGAAATGCCAGCTACTTGCAGGGTGTACTGTGCAGCAACAATGCAGAGCAGCCATGAGAAATCCAGTGCAGTTTATATAGATAAAAAAAAAATTTTTCTTTTATAAAGTCTCTGCAGGGATGGATTTCCCAACAAAGATAGATTTACCAGTACTTTATTTACTCAACACTCCTTCTCTCTCTGTTAGAGACTATGTATCTGAAGGAGTTTTACTTCTGCAGGAAGGTGCTATGGAGTTGAGAGAGACACATGCCAACCATACCTAGAAGTAAAATCTTTGATGTGGTAGGGGGAAAAATGTGAAATTGTTTGCTATAGTTGAGCAGATTCACCAAAAGTTTCTCAGAAGAAAGACTAAGCAAACGACTTCTGAAACACTAGCCACTGAACGGCCTGTGGCGGGCAGTTCTATTCTGATCCACATGACGTTGCTATGGGCTGCCGTCTACTTGAACACAACTTGGTCCAATGACAAATTAATACTGGTAGCACTTCAAATCTTTAGAGACAGAACTCTGAGCCTATGAGGAGCCCATGGGGACCTTCCAGGCCAAATTTTTCATCTCTAAGTGATAAATAAGAGATTCAACCAATCTAGACTTGGCTTGAAGGGAATTAACTGGCCAAGCTCAAGCAGAGATTTGTTCTTTCCTCTGCCCTCCTGTCCCTACAGCCTACAAGATCCTTCCTGTTGTTTTGATTTTGGATTTGGTTTTAAATTAACTCTAACAGTTTATTCTTTCAGTTGACTTTAAATAAATACAGAAACTCACTATCAGTAATAAACTCACTCACTGTCGTCAATTTAGAACCAACCCATAACTGAGTCTCCATCCGATTTCCATGTGGAAGGACACTGCCCATCTTTCTTCTTCAGAGCTGCTGGTGGATTAGAACTGCCAGAGAGATGTGGACTTAGGGCTAGGAGTACAACTCCCCGTGGATTATACCACCAGTGACAGAGACATATAAGGCAGCCATTCTGAGGCAGGGACCTGGCCCCTGATCGACCCACACATATCCTAACCTTTAGGGAACATATGCAAATATCTAAGACCGTCTTCCCAACTAGTGCATACTGCTCCACCAGCCTAGTACACACAGACCACCACAGCACCACAGCACTGAACTGTTTTTTCTAGATCTCTAACTTCTTTCATAGATTCCCAAGTACACACATTTTGCTGCCTGATTCCCTGGATTAGGACTCTTTGAGAAAAAATAATAAGCAGTAAAAACTCAAAGCATGGGCTCTCAGAGTGGAGACCAGATGTCTGTGTGCAGATAAGAGTTCCCTCAATCCTTGTGAACTTCTTTCCTTCACTGCCTGGTGAGGTGGTTCTGACTCACATGGATTCTCTGTGGGGTTGCGGAGGCCAATGGGAGGAAACGGCCCATCTTCCTCCCTGGGACTCGAACTGCTCTGGACTATGCAATTTCTTTAGCTTTCCTAAAGTCACAGCCTATGTGACTTTGGGAGCAATCGAGTTTAAACAACAATGCAAAATGCGCCAGTGACTCTTACTTTATGAGCTGGAGAACTCTAAAAGAAGGTGTGGTGGCATACAATTTGATGGTGGGAGGGTGAGAGACATTGGAAAGGTCTGGTCTGGAAAAAAGTGTATTTGAATTTTGTAATAAACTAGTGTAATAATAAAAAAAAAATAAGGTGTAAGGGGGAACACACCTCAAAACTAGAGCAAAATCAAACATGGACAGCCAGAAACAAAATTGAGGAGGCAGAAATGGCACCCTACAAACCAGAGAAAGTAGACTGACAGAAAGCTATCTTTACTGGGTCCAAAGCACATGTAAGACTCTATAGAATGTACTAGATTCACAGGCATGAGTTTCGATTTAACATGGACACCAGAGACTTGTCATTTATAATACCAAATAATAAAAGAAAAAATAGAGCTTCTTAAATAATTTTTGCAAAACAGATACTCCCTTCGCACAGCAGGACTGGGTAGGACACACTTTTACCCAGACACACTCCCAGCAGAGAACGCGACCAGTGGCTGTGTCCCCTTCTCCTTCCTGTCCTGAAGACTCAACCAAGGCTCGAAGGGGAATAACAAACGATGTAATGTTAGCTTTGGCTCATGGGTAATGAGAAGGCCTCACAAATGTGTGATTTATATCAGAAATAGGCAGACATAGCCTGCAAATAATGGACAAGGCAGTTTTTAAGTTGCAAACTAAAAGGAAAATGGCTTTGACAACAAGAGAGCAGTAACTTTAAAACAGTAGAACATTCCTCAGATAAGGTAAGATACTTTTGAAAGCAAAGCCATGGACCAAATATGTGTAGTAGAAGACTTATAAACGTGGGTGGACACATCAGAATGAAAATGAAGCTTAAATGTGTGTTTGGAGGGGAAAGAGACTGTTTTAACATCTGGCAAAGTATTATTTCAGCACATGGTTTTCTAAAGAAAGAAATCAAAGTTAATTGAGATCGATTTAACAAAAAATAAATCCAACCTTACAAATGTTAGTGATAAGAGAAGCACGCATCTTTTATTTTTAAAAATCTTTTTAAAGTTCATCTCAATGTTAATACTGCATGAGAATTAGGAAGGTGAAATGGTTCAAAATATGAAAAGTAGCTATTTGAGTTGTTTGGTTCCTTATAAAAAAAAGAAAAGCAAAAACCCAACACAACTAGTTGCCTAAAGATGAGGAAGGTTTAGGATAAAAACTTCAAAAAGGATGAAAAATAGTTCACATTCTGGAAAGACAGAGCAATCAAAAGATATTCCCTCAAACGATTATGATTAAAACAAGAGTTTCAGAACACCTATAAAACAGTATATCTTGGGAAACACAAACCTTAACATGTGCACATGCATATACACACATGCATGCAAACAAACACAGACGCATTCTAGACAATTTAACACATTTCAACAATTTAAGGCAGGGGAGATCCTGAAGTATCGTCATCAGAGACCTACTTCAATGGAAATGATCACTGAAGTTTCAATATAAATGCTACAAACCAACACTACCTTCTGGTTCACTCCCTTGACTTTTATGTACCCTCAGGCTAAAGGGTGGATGACAAAGACTGGTGCAGAGGACTCTCCTTGCCCAGCGGCCCCTCAACTTCAAAAGAGACTGAGGATCTAGCCTCCACGGGATTAGAGGCAGAAAGGAGCACCCAACACAAGCCTGGTAACCAGGAACACATGAGTTCGTTAAAGCCAGCTCTCTGCAAGTGCTTTCCTGGGCTTGACTCAGGTCCCAGCCTTCCTGCCTCTGAGAGGCCTCTTCCTCTTTTGTTGAGTGGGGATGCCACTACCTACCTGCCTGCCTGAAAAGGGGATCAGCAGATGACTTAGATAACATGTTTAAGCTATTCTTTCAGAACCTTCAGCCAGCCAGAGGACTTCAGGACTGTTTGGGTTGCTTTATAGAACACAATCCAAAAAAAGTCAAACCCTGGCAGAAATGTGGCATAATAATTTAATATGCCTGCCTCTATGTTACTATAAAAAGCACTGAGTTTAAGATTGAGGTGTGCCAGCGTGTGGGTGTTTTTTTCTGGAGCTCCAGGAAAGTTGGGATATTCCAATGTGGGAAGTGGCAGTTTACCAATGACATTTTCCCCCCGTATAAACTTAAATTTATAAAATATGAAAATTTTACACAAATAGCCCCCAACCCAGCCTCAAAGGCACTGCTATGCTGGCACGATAGTGCTTGGTCTTTCATTTATACACTAAATACACAAATAATGTTAAGAGGACTGTTCCTTTGGATTGTGGCTGTGGAATAACAGTTTACCTGCAGTTCCAGAAAGGGGCGAGGACTCAATTAGATTATACTGCAAACTGTAAGACTCAAATGCCCTCCAGTTTCCAAGTAGCTAAACCTGAGTACAACAAGGAATCCAAAATGCTTAGATCCATAAATAGAAAAGGAGAAATAAAACACGGATACCCTCCGTTCAAACCTTGACATTCCCATTACAAGATTTCAGGATCATGACACATCATCAT